AAAGCAAATTTTGCAATTTTAAACTTAAATTTCTTCACTTTTATGTCTAACAATCCATTCTGAGATATAAATAGTACTCAATTATCAGGCAAGTATAAGAATATTAATAAAAAAAAAATAATGTTCCTTTTTATTGTTATCAACATAAATATTGGTAACTGTAGACCTATAGAACTCTCAATTTGTGTAACGCTATTCATCCTAAGGGACCAAAAGAACATAATTTAATGCCATTGTCTAATATTCTTACAAAATGGAAGCTCTTGGGACCTTTTTTTGATGTGACAACAAATTTTGCAATTCTAAACTTAAATTTCTTCACTTTTATGTCTAACAATCCATCCTGGGGTATAAAAAGTACTCAATATTAAGCCAGTACAAGAATTTCAATAATAGAAAAATATTGTTCCTTTTTATTGTTATCAACATAAATATAAGTACAGTGTTCTCCCCAGGATTTTTGGATACCACCAGGGTAACGCGTGTGGACAGCTTGATGAAATATTTCATACAATCAGTTGTGTCGCGTCGGGTCGCGTCACGTCACTTAGCTCTATTTCTAGTTACTGTAGTTTTTATGTCTCTTGTTTTGTTTTAATACTGTGGTACTGTGTAATGTAGACATTGAGTCAGAAAATTATTGGTAAAAAAGAAGTAAATCAAAAAACAGTTTGTATACTTTAATATTTTTTTAAAATAAATTAAAGAACCTTAGTGAGCGCGCTCACATACCCCACGTCCTCACATTGTCATTGGAGAAATAAAATATGTGTAAGAAAAAAAAATTGAATCATAATTTCCTGTCAATATGCACATCTACATAGTATGTCCTTATTATCTACAAAGTTTCATGAAATTATGTTGTGTGGTTTCAGAGGAGTTGCGATGAAAAACTGTTGCAGTAGTACATTGAAGCAAATAAGTTCAAAGGGGTGTAACTCCTAGAAAAAAAATTGAACCGTGATTTCCTGTCGATATGCACATCTACATAGTATGTCCTTATTATCTAAAAAAGGTTTCATGAAATTCTGTTGTGTGGTATCAGAGGAGTTGCGATGACAAACTGTTGCAGTAGTACATTAAAGTAAATAAGTTCAAAGGGGCGTAACTCCTAGAAAAAAAATTGAACCGTAATTTCCTGTCGATATGCACATCTACATAGTATGTCCTTATTATCTAAAAAGGTTTCATGAAATTCTGTTGTGTGGTATCAGAGGAGTTGCGATGACAACCTGTTGCAGTAGTACATTAAAGGAAATAAGTTCAAAGGGGCGTAACTCCTAGAAAAAAAATTGAATCGCAATTTCCTGTCGATATGCACAACTACATAGTATGTCCTTATTATCTAAAAAGGTTTCGTGAAATTATGTTGTGTGGTTTGAGAGGAGTTGCGATGACAAGAAACAGGACTGACGGACTGACGGACTGACGGACTGACGGACGGACAGACAAACACACGGACGGACGGACGGACGGACAGACGGGTCAAAAACTTTATACCCTCCGCAACTCGTTGCATGGGGTATAATAAATTATGATTCATAATAAAATATTCATCTTAATTTAAAGTATTTAAATCTTTTATAAAATCCAAAATCAATAAAAATAAAATATCATTCAAAAGAGAACAAAAATGTTCCAATTTAAAAAACTTTCTAGTTTCTAGAAAGAAAGTTGTTGTATGTGAAAGGATTAACAAGAACAATTGCAAATATTGTTTTATTATTTGAACCAGTTTCTATCTTAGATTTTAATAAAAAGAAATTTTTCATAAATTTTTGAACATTTTGCCATAGATTTCATGTAAATATTAACCTTCCTTGTCTTTAGTGATAATCAAACATAGATACAGACTTAATACTGCACTGAAATCTAAATCTTTATTTGTCATGAACCATTTAAAAAAAAAATCATAAATCTATAAATTTATCTTTGGTCTATAGATCTATAAGTAACCATATTCAATGTCAACAACTAAGTCTCCCTATTTTCCCGCCTAAATGACAGGAAGTAGATATAAATAGATTTAACATGTGCTTAAGGATAAAATTTGCAAGATTACTTCTGTTATTCATTAATTATGGATAAAGATATTCAGTTTGAAGGTACAGGCATGCATTTTATTTATAAAATAGAATAGATTGCAATTAATTGTAAATAAACTTGAATATTCTACGTGAACTAACTGGGTCATGTGATATGTACAAACAGATACTACAGTATGAAACCCGACTATCATGCAATAACTATTTCATAATTAAAGATAATATTGGCCATGGTTTAATACTATAATATAAGAATTGAGAAATGTATAATTGTCAATTATATGTAATGAGCCACCTTTATTATGTACAAAAAATGTACCTATCGGGTCAAGACACTGTTTGTGTACAAAGTATTTGCCGACTTGTCACAGGTCAGTGCTTGGGTGGTGCCATAAAATAGTTATCTGTGATCATAAAGTTATGAACTCTTAATTAAAACATAAAAGAATCATGTTACAAGTGTTAATTACAGCGATTAAATCCAATCAACAAGGTTAACCTCATAAGGTAAATCGATCACGTGATGTAAACAATCTGTGTTGAACTGGTTTGAACTGGTCAAATTTCACCTGGAATTTTATACCGCACGGAAAAGATTTAACAAGTTGTTTAAAACTTTACCGATTTACGATTTTTTAACCGAAAATTTTAGCACCACGGAGAAAAAAATATACATCGCGGTAAGAACGATACCACCAGGGTAAAAAATTATACATCGCGGGCCTGCGGTCTTTTAAGGGCCTGGGGAGAACACTGTAAGTAACCATAGATTTATATAGCTCTCAATTAATGTAAAACTATTCATCCTTAGGGAACAAAAGAACAGACTTTTAATGCTGTAGTATAATTTTTTATAGAATTGAAAATATTGGCACCTGTTTTTGATGCAACAGCAAATCTTGCAATTTTAAACTTAAATTTCTTCACTTTTATGTCTAACAATCCATTCTGAGGTATAAATAGTACTCAATTATCAAGCCAGTATAAGAATTTTAATAAAAACAAGAAATATTGTCCCTTTTTATTGTTATCAACATAAATATTAGTATCCGTAGAATTATAGAACTCTCAATTTGAGTACCACAATTCATCCTAAGGGACCAAAAGAACAGAATTTAATGCCATTGTATAATATTCTAAAAAAATGGAAAATATTGGCACCTTTTTTTTAAACGACAACAAATTTTACAATTTAAAACTTAAATGTCTTCACTTTTATGTCTAACAACCCATCCTGGGTTATAAAAAGTTCCCAATTATTAGGCTAGTACAAGAATATATCAACTAAAAAAAAAGATATTGTTCCTTTTTATTGTTATCGACATAAATATTAGTAACTCTAGACTTATATGGCTCTCAACTATTGTAAAACTATTCATCCTAATAAGGACCAAAAGAACAGAATTTTAATGCTGTTGTATATTTTTTTTAACAGAATGGAAAATATTGGCACCAGTTTTTTAATGTGACAGTAAATTTTGCAATTTTAAACTTAATTTTATTCAATGTTATGCCTAACAATCCATTCTGAGATATAAATAGTACTCAATTATCAGGCAAGTATAAGAATATTAATAAAAAAAAATATAGTCCATTTTTATTGTTATCAACAAAAATATTAGTAACCTTAGACTTATAGACATCTCAATTTGTTTAACACTATTCATCCTAAGGGACCAAAAGGATAGAATTTTAATGCCGTTGTATAATATTCTTACAAAATGGAAGATGTTGGGACCTTTTTTTGATGTGACAACAAATTTTGCAATTCTAAACTTAAATTTCTTCACTTTTATGTCTAACAATCCATCCTGGGGTATAAAAAGTACTCAAATATTAAGCCAGTACAAGAATTTCAATAATAGAAAAATATTGTTCCTTTTTATTGTTATCGACATAAATATTAGTAACCATAGATTTATATGGCTCTCAATTATTGTAAAACTATTCATCCTTAGGGAACAAAAGAACAGAATTTTAATGTTGTTGTATAATTTTTTAACAGAATGGAAAATATTGGCACCATTTTTTATGCAACAGCAAATTTTGCAATTTTAAACTTAAATTTTTTCACTTTTATGTATAATAATCCATCCTGAGGTAAAAAAAAATACTCAATTTTCAGGCATAGATTCAAAAATTGATGTGAAACATACCATAACCCCAGACTGTATCTATTGGTTGAATGAAAAAAAATTAAATCAATTTATCAGTTAAATACGGAAAAATGAAAATAAATATTTTCAAAATTTTGCTCTAAATACTGAACAAAGCTTCTGTCCAAATTTCCTAAAATTCCTTGAAGGTTTGACAAAGTTATTGATGACTGAAAAACTTTAATCTCAGGCTGTATCTGATTGTTAACTGTAAAAAAAGATAAGTCCATTAATCAGTAAAATACGGAAAAATGAAAATAAATATTTTCAAAATTTGCACTGGATACTGTCTTTTGGTCATAAACAAGCTTCCATCAAATTTTCTTAAAATTCCATCATGGTATGACAAAGTAAAAAAAAACTAAGTCCATTTATTAGATGAGTACGGAAAAGGAAAATAAATGATGTCAAAATTTTGCTCTGGAAACTGTATTTTGGTCATAAACAAGCTTCTGTCCAAATTTCCTGAAATTCCATGAAGGTTTGACAAAGTTATTGATGTCTAAAAAAAATTTAACCACAGACTGAACTTAAATGTTGCAGATGCCTACGACAACATCTAGGACCAGTATATCTCACATTCGTGACATAAATGTAGCAGGCTTGACAAAATGCATGGTAAAATCTACATTTTGTGAAAGTATAAGAAAATTTTATCTTGGAAAATATATACTGATGATCCACCTTAAATTTTCTTTTGGTAAAATTTCAACATAAGATATCTCCAAGATTCATCTTGATAGGTTATTTCAAAGTTATTATGCATTTCATACTTTCTTAAGTACAACAAAATAAATACCTTGAAAATTGTAGGTTTGAACAAAAACCACTTTTGGTTTCCCTTTAAAATATTGGCACCCTTTAATGATCTCTAAAATTTCACTTCTTTGAACAAGTTTTCCATCACAGTCATAAATCTTTCCTGCATCACATTCATATTTCCCAGACAGGAACAATATAACCAGACTATCATACTTTGCAGACTGATCCTTGTCGATCTCATTTACTTTTCTTTTCAAGAACTCTGTAATTTCCTATAATGTAAGAAAAATCTTGGATTTTATTTTTGACAAAAAAATATTTGGAGATTTTCCTTAACATAAATATATATATGAGCATAATACAGTTGATTCCGGTTATTTGCATAGCCTATTTGTCAGACTAAATTATGCAATTAAGCGGAGTATGCTTATATCCGAAATGCCAAATTACGGAGTCAAATAACATCAATAGTACAGATCAGTAAAGGAATCCCTGAAGAAAGATGAACGTCCATAATCCACTTACAACATATTGAATGCTTATTTATTCTAATAAAAGTTATGTGTCTAGTGTCATACATGTTATTTTATTTTGTATTCTTTCAATAAAGTTTATAAACACATTTTGTCTTAGTTTATTTGCGTACCGACTTTTCCTTTACCTGAGATACGAAAATAAAACTAATTGTTCTAAAAATAGATTTGTTTCTATGACCTGGATGTACAATGTACATTGTTACGCTTTGATTAAATTAACTGTTTAACAATACTACACAGTTTATAATCATTTTAAACAATAAATGTGTACTGAACTGCCTTTGATATGCAGTATTTACCGCTTGCACAGTGATGTAACACTGTTTCTCTAACCTCGTTAGTTTTGTATATGCAAAGCAGTTAACAGGTAATGGGGACCTGCACGGGTTATTTCCTGGACATGAGTGTTGAAAGTGAGAAAATATAATAATTAGAAGTTAATTTTCTTTTCAAAAAATATTAAAAATAAAAGATTGATGTATAAAGTTCTTCAACCATATATAAATGCCCTGTAATATTTAACATAAGTGTAGATCACCCCAAGCAGAATTACGAGAGTACACATTGGATAATGATCGATAATTAGAATGGGTTATTGTTTTTAAAATTCACCCCAAATGTAATCTATGAACAATGTTTGAAAATCCAATCAATAATTAACACCTTTTGAGATAGAATAGACAAGTTTTTACAACAATCACCTGTTTGACATTTTTATGACCTCAAGGCTTAAAATAGAACATGGGAAACTTTACCTGTGTACACATCGAGGATTATTTTATAATCATATAAACACGAAAGAAACTGTTTTAAAACTTTATTTAAATAACACAAAAGTAAATATGAAATAATAACGAAAATTATGATGCTTTTAAGAAAAATATACCTACCAAATTGCCGTTTCCGGTCAAAAATCTCGTCAGTTTTAACTAAGCATATCTAGCTGGCGAATATTTTCTATGCAATTAACCGAAAGGCCACTTGTAAGGCTATGCATATAACCGGACAATTTAACATTATATGAATGGGAAATGGTTTTGTGCAGGAGAAAAGTATGCAATTAACCGAATTATGCTATTAAGCGGTATGCAATTAAGTGGAGTCGACTGTACATTCATATTTTTTTTAGCTTAGTAAAGAATACAGTACTTTGCAATAAGTTCTTTAAACATCTACTAACAGCAGGTGCATACAATGGTGCAAAAGTAGAACCTACAAATATGTTTAACCCCGACACATTATGTATGTGCCTGTCCCAAGTCAGGAGCTTGATTTCAGTGGTTGTGGTTTGTTGCTGTTTATTTTATTTGCTTTTAGTTCATTGTTTTGTACATAAATCAGGCCATTGTTTTTGCATTTGAATTTTTTTTAAATTGTCATCTTAGGGCCTTTTATAGCTTGCTATGCAGTATGGGTTTTGTTCATTGTTGAAGGCCGTACTGTGACCTATAGTTGTTAATTTTTTATGTCATTTGGTCTCTGATAGAAAGTTCTCTCATCGGCAATCATACCACATCTTCTTATTTTTTATGTATAAAAAAGTAATATGAATAGCAAAAATATTTTAAATTTCTCAAATTGATAATGTTTTATGGTAAACAAAACAAAAAGAAGATGGTAAATGGCATTATATGGATGAAGGAGTTTCAGTTGGTTTCAATAAATTAATCAAACAAAAAAAAAGGTTTTTATGGAGTTCCAGATTAATAAGAGTACCCCAAGATAAAAAAAAATTGCAAAGAATATCACTTGTTCAGAAAAACCCTAAAATTATTCAGATAAAAAAACAAAATAGGAAGGCATTGGCATATTCTGATTTTTCAGAGAAAATGTCATTTACATTCTGATTAATGCTTTAAGAGCAGCTGCTTGATACAAAATTGTAAAGCAGCAAGTGCACATGATAAAACATAATGTAATGCCAAAGTTAACCCTGATAATCATGAAATTTATAAAGTGTTGTTTTCTTTTTTTTCTATGAATGAGATGCTTTAAGTTTCTGAAATTCTCTCATGGTCATGCAAGAGCAGTATCTAATTGGGTTACATCAGTGGAGAGAACATATGGACAGTCAGGCACACATACACACTATTTACTGCCCCCATAAAGGGTATTATAATGATTTGTCAATAGTAAATGATGATTCTTAACAAACCAAAATGAAGTTTTAAGTTTAAGCAAAATATATCTTAATTATACAATACCTCCTTCTTTAAATTTTTAACCTGGTCTCCACCTTTTAACTCATAACCCATGGATTTCAATAACTGGCTCATGTTGGATTTATCAAAGTCTGTATTCGCCAGACAATTTAAATATTTTTTTTTCTTTTCTTCTTCATCATCTGTATTTTCTGTACACTGAATGCACTGAGCATTAGATATCAAAATAAACTTCCCTCTGTTGGTAGCATTTGTCATTTGGTAAATCTTCAATAAATTTACATAAATAAAGTTATATTTAATTAACTATTGCCTACAATCACTTAGCTGAACACTTTAATCATGTTAATGCATTTTACAAACATTAGATTAAACAGTGATGAAGAAATAAATTTGAAAATGTTGTGTTTGAAAGACACCTTTGATGCCTCTGTCAAAAAAGGTACAACATTTTGTCATTAGTAAAAAATTAAAATAAAACAAATACTAATAATAGGAATACTCATACTGCAAAATAAATAAGTAAGCCAGACCGACCATGAACCATGCATGCATAATTTCACTAAAATGACAAGGTTCAATATTCTAGCTTTCATTTATGGAAAATTTTAAGTAAATCAAAATCTTGTGAAAGTGCACACCTACATGTATATATATAAGCAAGCATACAGAACAAAATAAAACTTCAAGCTTGAAAACTGTACAAGGAGTGAGCCAGACAAACCAAGTACCCCTCTCAGACCTCATATTACAAAATGTTTAATAAATATTCTTAAATGAGGTTCCACAAAGGAAATTGTTGATTATAGACATGTCATGTCTTGCCTTTTAACACTTACTATACTGTCAGATATGTCTTTGGCTCATTGTTTATTAGGCCCTTCATCAACTTTTGGTTGTTTAAATCCACAAAAATTAGTATCAGGTGAGAATTTGTCTCATTGGTTATCATACCACATCTCTTAATTAAGTACTGCGGGAGAAATGATAATGTGCCATTGTATGATTACAGATGTTCTTTTGGTGAGTTTCCTGGTGACTCATAAGATGGTTTTCTTAACCCCAACTTAAATTGTCAACTTGCAGAGTTTTTTTAGAATTTATCTACTGTCCTTTCATTTATTTTTTCGTGAATACCAATTTTCGTAGATTGGAAAAAATTGTATTTTCATGGATATTTAGATTTCATGGTTTTGCCAAAGTCTGCTTACAAACCTATAGAAAAATTACACTTTGTTGAACATCTAAACTTTTTGTTTACCTATACCCATGAAATCAACAAAAATTAGTATCCAATGGAATATAATGAATCCACAGTATACAACATAAAGTATTATTGTCCTGAATATGCATGTAATATTGACTGCTGGACTTTCATAATCAATCCTTATCTGCTTGTATTTTTACCCTTTCAAATGATATGAGATCCTGAGCTCTAATTGTATAGATTTTAAGTCTTTTCCTTTGTCCCAATTCATAAGTCCAGCGATCTATTTTGACTACATAACCTATACACATTCAAAGTAACCTAAGCAATCAGCAATGAAACAAACCATGTTGACAATTTTTATATTTGATGTCTATGAACCCAGTGTCTCGCCTACTTTTGCTGTTAATCGCAGGCACAACAAAAATGAGGAAAAAAATCAATAAAAATATTCCTTTAGATACTATCTTTTGATTGTAAGAAGCTTCTGTCAAAGTTTGGTATAAATCCAGGATAGTTTATGAATCTAATTAATGTTTAAAAACTTTAACTGCAGACTGTATTTAATGTTAACTGGAAGAAAAACTAAGTCCATTTATAAGTAAAATACGGATAAACAGGTACAAAATTTTAACAAAATTTCCTTCTAATTACTAGCTTTTGATCATAAACAAGCTTCTGTCCAAGTTTGGTACAAAACCAGGATAGTTTAAGAAAGTTATTAAAATTTTAAAAACTTTAACCACAAAGTGAATGTATTGTTTCCTGGCGGAAAAACTAAGTCCATTTATAAGTAAAATACGTAAAAAATGAAATTTTTTTTTTAACATATTTACTTCTGGATATTATCTTATGATCATAAACAAGCTTCTGTCCAAGTTTGGTACAAATCCAGGATAGTTTAAGAAAGTTATTAAAATTTTAAAAACTTTAACCACAGAGTGAATGTAATGTTTCCCGGCAGAAAAACTAAGTCCATTTACAAGTAAAATACGGAAAAACAGGAATTTTATTTTTTCAAAATTTACTTCTGGATACTATTTTATGATCATAAACAAGCTTCTGTCCAAGTTTGGTTGAAATCCAGGATAGTTTAAGAAAGTTATTAAAATTTCAAAAACTTTTAACCACAGAGTGAATATTTGTGGACGTCGCCGCCGCCGACGGAATGTAGGATCGCTATGTCTCGCTTTTTCGACTAAAGTCGAAGGCTCGACAAAAATGAAAATATTGTTCATTTTTCAATTGATGCATTTTCAGAAAAGAAAAGAGAAATTCAATTCAAATGTTGTAATTTGTTTCTGTTATAAAAACGAATATCTTTCATGTTTCTTTTTTTTTGGTTTAAGATATAAATAAAATGCTCCATGGGGCGCAGCTTGATACAACCGCAGAGGTCAAACCATGAACAGTTGGGGCAAGTATCAACACTACATTCATGCTTGATACAGCTCTGAATTTGGATTGTAATTTAATATTTGACAAAGCATAGGTTTCTGACACAGAATCAATGTGGTAAAAGAACTGAAAAATTTGAAATTTGACTTTTACCTATTATGCTGTAATATCCAAAATCTAAAAACACAATTTTATTCAGCATATCCAAGTACACCATGAGTTTAATTTGTTTAATTATCAATAGACAATATAGTTAAGTTTTTAAAATGCTCCATAAAGGAATTAAGTTTAAGCTGTAATTGGCAGGAAACCTTTTATCAAATTAATTAATATTTTTTTTGTGTTTGAATTTTACTACAAGTGGGGTACAGATATATGTGTATGGTAGTTGTGGTTTATTTGTCATCAGGTATTGATTGAAGTTTTTAAACATATTGTAACTTCAGACGATGGGAAAGGGGAGGAAATTCATTTTTCTTGACACTGTTAAACTTTTATAATTAATATTGATAATTCAGCAATTTTAGGAATGAATGATGTAATGGACATGAAATGCAGAATAAAATTATATCTAAGCTAAAAGGATAATAGAATTGCATTATAACTAACTGAAGATTTTTTTTTCAAAATAGGATAATGATATGAGATAAAATTGTGGCATGAAATTGGGCATGAACTGGTAATTGTGGTTTTTGGGATTGTAATTCTATGTGGTTGGGATGTTATTTTAATTAGATTTGTGAATTTGCGGTTAGAATTGTTCTGAAAAGTGATATCAGAAGGTGACATTAATGTCATGTGTTTTAGAGTGAATTATCATTAAATTTTGGTTTGAGTTATTTCCCTTTGAAAAGAAATGTCATAAGCATGAACAAAAACCACTAAAATTAATATATCTGAATCAGCAAAATTCTTAGTAACATTTAAAAATAAATGAAAGCTTCTCATGTGCATATCACCTCCAAGATAAGTCATAAATTATAAGCTGAAACATTGTAAGGGAGGTAACTGTTAATGTAAAAGAACAAAACAAATGAAATTGATCAAATATAAGCAATTCAGGATAGCAAAAACCCCTACCATTCAATTCCTGATAAAATCAAATAAAGTTTAATTTTGGACCCTATGGACCCTGATGTGGACCTATTTGAAAAATGGGTCCAAAATCCAAAATCTAAATACGTTATTAGATTCAGCATATTGAAATCAATTCAAGTTGAATTTTGCACACTAATTTGGACCAAAATTCTTAAACGGTTAGAGTCATAACCCCCAAATTCAATCTAAACCTTCTTGTCCTGGTATAGAACCTTGTTGAGCAATTTCATTGAGATCCATAAACTTATACTCAAGTTATTGTCTGGAAACCAAATGTCATCGGACGACAACGACGACATCGCCATACCATTATACTGCCACAAATTTTTGAGGTGTTATAAAAACAAAAAACAAATTTTGTTTTTCACTTTTGCATGTATCTTTTAAAATCACTTTTGTTGCTCAAATTAGATATTAAGGTCACAAAAACAATTTATCAAAATGAAAAAAAACGAGTGGACCCAAATATACAGGGACCTTCTATACCTTGTAATGGTAAGCTAATAAAAGATTAATATGACATAAATACCTTTCTGTCTTTTAATATGTTGCCATAAAATTCAAATGAACTCAATTTGATATCTTTCTTCCTCACTGTATTTCTTCCAGCTGCTAAGTCTGGCCATCCACGAACTTAAAGAAAACTAGACATGTTAACACACATGATAGATTTTAATCTTAAGGTCATGGTCAGGTAAATGGGATATGTCACAGATTTTGGTAAAATTTGCATACAACTTTGGCTCGTTTAAATATAACTGAAAATCATTATGCATTTACTTCTTTTATTTTCTAAAATATTACAGACTGAATTCCTTTAAAATTGGTGAGCATTTGTATAGAAAGCACATAAAATCGGCGTAAAACGTTCTTAAATTTATCTTCATCCATATATTTTTCTTTAAAAAAATATATGTCGTTGATATATTATTTTTACAGTATACATCATTGAAAGTGGAGTTCTAGATGAAAAAATACCACAAAACGTTGAATGTCATTGTGTCGTAAAACCTTGTTTTTTGATGTTTTTCATTGCTAACTAGGTAACAGATTGGTTAATACAGCAAAATAAAGTTGAGGACCAAATGATTATTTTACATCATTAAAAAGAAATACATGTATCAAGAACATAAAGTTTTTTAAGAAAAATCTATGGACAAGATATAGATTTTATGCCAATTTTATGTGCTTTCTATACAAATGTTCACCTTTTTTGAAAGATTTCAATCATCAATATTTCAGAAAATAAAAGAAATAAAAGCATCATTTTTTCGTTTTCAGTTTTAGTTCCAAAGTGGTGTGAAACATTTTACCAAAATCTGTGACATAGCCAATTTACTGTACCTTGACATAAACAAATATTGAAAAAATGGTATTTTTATGATCTTAGTTAATATAAATCCTACCACATGCATTGATCAAATAAAATTTAGTGTTGACGACATGACATATTCTACGGTATACAGTAAATGCATTGCAATTAAGTTTACATGTGTAACCTAGCTTGTGATATAAAATAAGAATTATATGTATGAACTACTGTAAATTCAGAAATTTAAGAATTCACAAAACAGCAAGATTATTCATAGCAATTCTTGGAAAAGCTGCATACAGATATATATATATCAGATATCAGAATGTGGGCTCTTATTATGGTGATACTCACCTAGTCACATTATTCCCATTAATAACAACCTCGCAATGATTTCTGAATTAACAGTATTCAATACATATATTCCTTTAAAATTTAATAAACAGTACTGTATTAGAATCTCGTTTGTGTACTGACACTTTGTGTATTGTGTATTGTTGCTAAATACCTATACATAGTAAAATTAAACAAAGGTTGATTTAAAATAAAATGCTTCGCTGGGCGCAGCTTGATACGACCGCAGAGGTCGAACCCTGAACAGTTGGGGCAAGTATGGACACAACATTCAAGCTTGATACAGCTCTGAATTTGGATTGTGATTAAATATTTGACACAGCATAGGTTTCTGACACCGAAAGAATGTGGTCTAAGAACTTCAATTTTTTTAATTTACCTATTATGGTCCAATGTCCAAAATCAAAATACATGGTTAGATTCAGCATATCAAAGAACCCCATATATTCAATTTTTGTTGAAATCAAACAAAGTTTAATTTTGGACCCCAACTTGGACAAACTTGAAAACTGGTCCCATAATAAAAAATCTAAACACATGTTTAGATTCAGCATATCAAAGTACCCGAAGAATTCAATTTTTGTTAAAATCAAACTAAGTTTAATTTTGGACCCTTTGGACCTTAATGTAGACAAATTTAAAAAACGGGACCCTAAATTAAAAATCTAAAAACACAGTTAGATTTGGCATATCAAAGAACCCTAATAATTCAATTTTTGATGAAATCAAACAAAGTTTAATTTTGGACCCTTTTGACCTCAATATGAACCAATTTGATAGCGGGCCCACAAATAAAAAATCTAAATACATGGTAAGATTCAGCATATCAAAGAACCCCATATATTCAATTTTTGTTGAAATCAAACAAAGTTTAATTTTGGAACCCAATTTGGACCATCTTGAAAACTGGGCCAAAAATCTAAAATCTAAATACATGTTTAGATTCAGCATATCAAAGAACCCCATATATTCAATTTTTGTTGAAATCAAACAAAGTTTAATTTTGGACCCCAACTTGGACCAACTTGAAAACTGGTCCCATAATCAAAAATCTAAACACATGTTTAGATTCAGCATATCAAAGAACCCCAAAAATTCAATTTTTGTTAAAATCAAACTAAGTTTAATTTTGGACCCTTTGGACCTTAATGTAGACCAATTTAAAAAACAGGACCCAAAATTAAAAATCTAAATACACGGTTAGATTTGGCATATCAAAGAACCCCAATAATTCAATTTTTGATGAAATCAAACAAAGTTTAATTTTGGACCCTTTTGACCTCAATATGAACCAATTTGATAGCGGGCCCACAAATAAAAAATCTAAATACATGGTAAGATTCAGCATATCAAAGAACCCCATATATTCAATTTTTGTTGAAATCAAACAAAGTTTAATTTTGGACCCCAATTTGGACCAACTTGAAAACTGGGCCAAAAATCTAAAATCTAAATACATGTTTAGATTCAGCATATCAAAGAACCCCATATATTCAATTTTTGTTGAAATCAAACAAAGTTTAATTTTGGACCCCAACTTGGACCAACTTGAAAACTGGGCCCATAATCAAAAATCTAAACACATGTTTAGATTCAGCATATCAAAGAACCCTAAGAATTCAATTTTTGTTAAAATCAAACTAAGTTTAATTTTGGACCCTTTGGACCTTAATGTAGACCAATTTAAAAAACAGGACCCAAAATTAAAAATCTAAATACACGGTTAGATTCGGCATATCAAAGAACCCCAATAATTCAATTTTTGATGAAATCAAACAAAGTTTAATTTTGGACCCTTTGGACCTCAATGTGGACCAATTTAAAAACGGGGCCCAAAATCCAAAAACTTAATACACGGTTAGATTCAGCATATTAAAGAACCCCATGAATTCAAGAATAAAACCCCATTGAAATTGATCAAGAAATAAGCAATTTATACGAAGTATCTTCTTTTGCACAATACTGTGCAATTGAATATTTCTTGCTATTGCGCAATACTGTACAATTGACAATTTCTTGCTATTGCGCAATATTGTGCTATTGGATATTTCTTGCTATTGCGCAATACTGTTAAATTGAAGATTTCTTGCTATTGCGCAATACTGTGCAATTGAAGATTTCTTGCTATTGTGCAATACTGTGCAATTGAAAATTTCTTGCTATTGCACAATACTTATTATATAATAATTTACACATCCTGTTTGGTGTGTATCTCCTACCATATCATTATTATTTGCTTTTAAATATAAATCAGAAATAACCAACTTAAAATGGAAAATTTTAAAAGAAAAAAAAAAGGAAAAAAAGAAAAAAAAAAAAAAAAAAAAATCCCCCCCCCAAATTTTTTGAACCCCCTTATGATTCATCACCCCCAAACTCAATCCCAGCCTTCCCTTTGTGGTAAGGTACCTTGCAGTACAATTTCAGAGAGATCCATACACTTGAACACAAGTTATTGTCTGGAAACTAGAAAAATGCTTATTTTTGGCCCCTTTTTGGCCCCCAATTCCTAAACGTTTCGGGCAATTACCCCCAAACTCAATTCCAGCTTTCCCTTTGTGATATGGAACCTTGTAGTACAATTTCAGAAATATCCAAACACTTACACACAAGTTATTGTCATGAAACTAGAAAAATGCTTGTTTTTTGCCCCTTTTTTGGCCCCTAATTCCTAAAATTTTGAGGCAATTACCCCCAAAATCAATTACAGCCTTCCCTTTGTGATATGGAACCTTGTGGTACAATGTCAGAGAGATCCATACACTTACACACAAGTTATTGTCTGAAAGTTACAAAAATGCTTATTTTTGGCCCCTTTTTGGCCCCTAATTCCTTAACTGTTGGTACCATAACCCCCAAAATCAATCCCAACCTTCCTTTTGTGGTATTGAACCTTATGGTGAAATTTCATGGAGATCCATTCACTTAAACTAAAGTTAGAGTGCGAAAACCAATGTGTCTTCGGACGACGCCGGACGACTACGACGACGACGACAACGACGACGACGACGACGACGCCAACGTCATACCAATATACGACCAAAAAATTTTTAATTTTTGCGGTCGTATAAAAACACAATAAATGATTACATCAAGAATTTCCTTAAGAAATACTTAAAAAGGAAAAACTTCTTGCTTTGCTTTGCTGATAAAACATGAATGTTGGAGATTAGCAAATACGAGTTGCAACCCTTAACCTGTGTGATGAGTTTTTTAATTATACACACTACATGTGTATACTTAGCTGAATTGCTTATCATGTTATTTCAAATAATTGCAAAATATCATCTTATACTGTGATAAGTAAATATGACATATGCTGTAGCATTTATGTGATTGTATTGCATTTCAATTTCAAAAGAAATAAAAACATTAACAAATTTAATGTCACAGAATAAAATTGAGTGTTGACTTTATTTGACTTGCCCTCATAAAAAACAAAATTACTAAGATGCAATTAAAAACAGTTTTAAGATGTTTGTACTCAAGAGGATATTAATGTTCTTGTCTGATGAGCATTAAAGAAAGTGAACATTTTAACTCCTGTTTTTGGCACTATTTTCCTTATGAAAATTACTTTTCAATGATCATTTAAATTTTACATGCATTATAAAATTTGTGGTAACATGTAAAATGAGTCTTAGAAGGAGAATATGTGTCCATTTGACACCATGCACTGATTGTGCTATGCATTAAGGAGTAAAAGCAAAGACTGATCAACTCGGAGTCGAATAATGTGTCTGAGAAGGTTGACAAGTCTTCCTTTCAGGCTGAAATCCATTAAACTAGCATGTTAAAAATCTTGCTCAGTGTGTTTGTCTAGTACAATGAAGGGTTTATATGCATATTGCATTTAATGAAATATTGTTTTGTCAATTATACATATTGGGTTTGTTATAAATGTACAAAACATCATTAGTATAAATGTATGCATTGGTCCATTACCTTAACATTGATTATAATAACAATTAAAGAACCTTAGTGAGCGCGCTCACATACCCCACGTCCTCACATTGTCATTGGAGAAATAAAATATGTGCAAGAAAAAAAAATTGAATCATAATTTCCTGTCAATATGCACATCTACATAGTATGTCCTTATTATCTACAAAGTTTCATGAAATTATGAAGTGTGGTTTCAGAGGAGTTGTGATGACAAACTGTTGCAGAAGACATTGAAGCAAATAAGTTCAAAGGGGTGTAACTCCTAGAAAAAATATTGAATCATAATTTCCTGTTGATATGCACATCTACATAGTATGACCTTATTATCTACAAAGTTTCATGAAATTCTGTTGTGTGGTTTCAGAGGAGTTGTGATGACAAACTGTTGCAGTAGTACATTGAAGCAAATAAGTTCAAAGGGGTGTAACTCCTAGAAAAAAAATTGAACCGTAATTTCCTGTCGATATGCACATCTACATAGTATGTCCTTATTATCTAAAAAGGTTTCATGAAATTCTGTTGTGTGGTATCAGAGGAGTTGCAATGACAAACTGTTGCAGTAGTACATTAAAGTAAATAAGTTCAAAGGGGCGTAACTCCTAGAAAAAAAATTGAACCGTAATTTCCTGTCGATATGCACATCTACATAGTATGTCCTTATTAACTAAAAAGGTTTCATGAAATTCTGTTGTGTGGTTTCAGAGGAGTTGTGATGACAAACTGTTGCAGTAGTACATTGAAGCAAATAAGTTCAAAGGGGTGTAACTCCTAGAAAAAAAATTGAATCATAATTTCCTGTCGATATGCACATCTACATAGTATGTCCTTATTATCTAAAAAGGTTTCATGAAATTCTGTTGTGTGGTATCAGAGGAGTTGTGATGACAAACTGTTGCATAGTACATTGAAGCAAATAAGTTCTAAGGGGCGTAACTCCTAGAAAAAAAATTGAACCGTAATTTCCTGTCGATATGCACATCTACATAGTATGTCCTTATTATCTAAAAAGGTTTCATGAAATTCTGTTGTGTGGTATCAGAGGAGTTGCGATGACAAACTGTTGCAGTAGTACATTAAAGTAAATAAGTTCAAAGGGGTGTAACTCCTAGAAAAAAAATTGAATCGCAATTTCCTGTCGATATGCACAACTACATAGTTATCCATATTATCTAAAAAGGTTTCGTGAAATTCTGTTGTGTGGTTTGAGAGGAGTTGCGATGACAAGAAACAGGACTGACGGACTGACGGACTGATGGACTGACAGACTGACGGACGGACAGACGGGTCAAAAACATTATACCCTCCACAACTCGTTGCGTGGGGTATAATTATCACGTTTCATATGACTATCAAGTTTTGATATGTTAAATGAATATCATAAAAGCATTATCAGCTGATTATATTGCAAATTGATGAAATTCATTGAATATGTTTTTTTTAATAAAATTTACTTTGGCATGAATGACAGTTTCAATACCTTTCATTGGAACATCTATTAATCCAGGAAAGAAGAATAATTCTTTCTCTATACTATGTTCAAGAATCATTACTTCTGCTACATGTTCTTTCACAGCTGACGTTCCATTAACAGGTACCATAGCCGTAATGAGACAATCATTTACCTGAAAGAAAAAAAGTAAGTTCCCATGAGGGTGACCAAATTAACTTGCTCGCAATGCAAATTTTTTGGCTAACTGTACAAAGACATATATGTTAACATATAAGAATTGTTATGGTTAAGAAGTTAGAATATGAAGTTTTTTTCAATATATATTTAACAATTAATGAAATGAAAGGGATGAGATGGGCATGTCCCCTGGGGACACAATCAATGATAAACTAGAGACAAGATGTAAGGTTTAGGGGTGGACACAAAAACAGTATTCGTGATGTTTAACAATGAATGGTTTATGAAGTGTGGGGTATGTTCTGTGAGGACCAAACTTGTGGTTAACTTAAAAGCTCAGGCAACAACACATATATATAGTTAAAGGGTAAGGATATGCATTTTTCAAGATAATTAATAATTAATGATATGAGGAGGGTAAGGCATGTTGTTAGGGACAAAACATATGGTGAAATAGAAAAATCTTATTATGGCAAGTAAGAAAATATAGCCAAAATACGAGGCACACTTAACTCACTCATTATCTATGGTATCCTTTATTCTAAAATCTACGCAATAGATGGTGTTAAATATAGTAACAAAATTCTTAATTATTTGGTGAGAGGACATCATCTTTATAGCTGAAGGAGAAAATGCTTGAGAATAATGCTAGCATTTTTTCATTCTTTCTGAGAGGGTCTTGTATGAAGTCTGCAGACAACAGCCGAAGGCCACCAATGGGTCTTCAACGCAGCGAGAAAATCCCGCACCTGGAGGTGGTCCTCAGCTGGCCCCTAAATAAAATTGTGTACTAGTTCAGTGAAAATGGAAATCACACTAAACTCCAAAACATATAAATGAACTAAAATTAAAAAACATACAAGACTAACAAAGGCTAGAAGCTCCTGACTTGGGACAGGCGCAAAAATGCGGCGGGGTTAAACATTTTTTGTGTGATCTCAACCCTCCCCTATACCTCTAGCCAATGTAGAATAAAGAAACACATAGCAATACGCACAGTAAAACTCAGTTTAAAAGAAGTCCAAATCCGATGTCAGAATAGGTAACAAATGGAACTAAGCAAAATGACAATGATAAATAAATTAACAAAGGACTACTAGCAGTTACTGACATGCCAGCTCCAGACCTCATTAAACTGATTGAAAGATTATGTCTTCATCATATGAAAATCAAGTACAATCCCTCCCGTTAGGGGTTTAATATCATACAATCATAAAATATACGAGAAGAACATAACCCGTACCGTGCCAACAATTGGTTTTAGAATAATAGTGTTTATTTCCGATGCAAAGACCCTATGAGTGAATCAATATTAATACCAAAATATGCAATCCTTAATGACCTGACAACAGTATCGTAACTATATCCTTTCCAAATAAGTCTGTTTAAAGGTTTGGTTAGCTTTTGAGGTGAATGCCGACATTTTTGTGCTTTGTAAAGAATATTACCATAAAATATTGGATGTGGAATACCTGAACGTATAAGATGTCTACATGTTGATTTATATTTACGAATGATGTCCTTGTACCGATGATAAAATTTAGTAAATGTTTTGAAGTTTTTTGTATGAATCAGAGTGACTTTTACAAAGTGAGATTATTCACTTCCTAAAACAAGATATTTGTAATCATGTCAGCCACTCATTTTGATTAAACATTGAAGTTGGACTTATAATAGTCTTTCCATCTGTTTAAAAAGGGGAATACTAGTATGAGGGTAGAGAAGTATGATTTTGTATACTAACGTAAGAGGAAAGGGACTAAGATTGTATTAATCTAATAGATCTTTGGAACTTTTTAGTTTCCACCTCTGATTCACATAGTCCCTAGAGTATGTAGTTTCATAGCCTGACTTTGATACAATTGATGGTAATAGTCAGGCGTGACAATAATCAGTTCATATATAAAAATCAGAAATTTACATATAGATTTAAGAAATTAATCTTTCATGATATACTCTTTGCTCATTTTACATGGGTAGGCATTATATTTGTCAATATCTTTACACCGAGCAAGTGACAACTATAATGCTTACCCATGTTAAGAAGAGCAAAAAGCATGGTATGATAGAATTATTTTGATTCTAGTAGGAAAATTTAGAACTTTTGTACTTTGAAGCAGACCTATAAGACATGTTTGAAAGGCAGCCATTGTGATTTGATGAAGCCAAGACGTAAAAAAGTTTCACAATAAAAAATGAACAGATACATCGTTAACTTACTATAATAATGATATTTCCTAGCAAGCAACACCAACACAAATATCCATTATGATCTCCGGCGTTGTTTAAAATACATCTGATGTTGCAATTTCAATTGTGATGTCAATCACATGCAGCTCATGTTCTATTGGAATAGAACATGACCTTGTTTCCAAAGCGAATGAAGAATGTCATATTAGAATTAGAATCCTGCAAATTGGGGTGTTTTCCAGGATTTTTAACTATTCTTGAGGGGTAATGAAATTGGTATACCCAAAATTGATGTAAAGAGTGTACAATTATTAAAAGTGGTTAAGATATATATATAAATTTTAAATACATTCTGGAACATTGTTTAATAGTTCTTCATTTAATTAACTATTAATTAGTATTTCATATCAATAAACATTATTTTGTGGAGTATAATATTTAACCAAAAGGAGTAACCTGGTAACTATATGTTGTTTACTTTTAAGCTTTTGTTCAGATACACAAATATATTCACAGTAAAGCAAGGCTCAGGTTATACAATTTAAAAACATTATATTTGACATCCAAACTGAAAGTGAAACTTTTTAATTTCCCTTTGTTTATTTTTTTTGCTGTCTTTCAAATTTGCAAATGAACTGGAAGTAAATGTGTGGTCAATAATTGTTAATTTTGTTGTTGAAAAGGGACAATAAAAAGTGGTAGGCACAAAGATATCAAAGTAAAAGGGTACTTGTTGTCTGGCAAAAAAGGGTGGCTGTGTCACTCTAGCTTGATTATTGATTTAACAGATAGTAATTGGAAACATGTACATATTTTTAAATCTTTTCTGCATCATTACCTCTTTCATCATTTCCAGAAATGATTTCTCATGGGCCATTTTTTTGAAAACATGAATTAATGCTTGCATAAAATATGATCCATTCATTTCATCTCCAATGATCCATGGACCTTTTTCTAAAATAAACAATGACTTTTTAAGACATATATGTTTTGTCAACTGTCTGAAAACTAAATCATAATATTTTCATTTTAAGTGTTATCTCTTTCAAAACCAGTTCAATCACATTAGAATAGGACATTGATACTAATTAAGAAACTATTTTAACTTTTCAAAGCTTCGTATTATTAAGTCCTTCTAAACAGCTCTAACATTTCACTGCAAAGAAAGAAATGATTTAAGACATAAAGCACCTGCTCCTTTTCATTAAGGTAAACTGCTTCATATGGAAATCAAGGAAAACTGTCATGATACCATAATGCTTTTAGAGTTCAGTGAACAGGAAGTTGATGAGCAATAAATCTGAAAACATCACATGGTGAAGCATGATCACATGACGCCTGAGAACAAAAATCAGGAAGCCCTTATTTTTAGTTCCCTAAAAAAATGTGAGCAATATTTCATACATGACCATTATGTGTTAGAAAATATAACTGTCAGTAAACAAGAAGTTGATGAGCCAAATATGTGAAAACACATCTCACAGTAAAGCAAGTTCAAATGAAGCCTGATAACACATTTCAGGAAGGTCTTATTTATAGCTCCTTAGACAAATGTGACGAAAATTTCATACATAGCCATTATGTGTTATTCTATATAAGTAATCAGTAAACAGGAAGTTCATGAGCACATGGTAAAGCATACTGACAAAAAGACTGGTCATAGATATTACTGGTCTGTACATGGAGGTTAGAAAGGTCAGTTGGAATTTTAACTGCAGTATGCAGGCCCATGATTACAAATCAACACTGTAACATAAGTTTTTTGAAATGATCACAGATAAAATTATGATACATGTGCCTTAATCTATATCCAAAATAATTCAATTGCAATTTAGATTTAATTTAGACAGACAAACTGTCCTGCATATATGTAACATTTATTTGTTTGTTTCCATATAATCAGTCAGGGGTACTACTTGTACAAGTAGTCTTTATTTACTTCAAGAAGTAAAAAAAATATACTTATATAAGTTAATTATAATGTTTGAATAATTTCCCCTTAATTTTCTCAAAAATTTACTTGTATAAGTAAATTTTTTTTACAATCCCACAAAAATTCTCAAGTTTTGAGATGTAAAAACATGCCTTTAATGATTTTTCCCAGCTTAGCTCATAATTTTTGATTACAGTTCAATGTTTCATCTCATTAATTCAACAAAGAAACTGATTGCGCAAAGATCTTAAGTATTTGCGCAAGGCCTTCAAAAATTGCCCCTTGGGGGCTTGTAAATGAGCAGTGTTCTGAAGATAACAGACAAATGAGATTTTCATTGTCCATGAAATTACACTAAATTAATAAGTAAAGACATCTGCAAAGGACAGACAATTTAAAATTCTATTAGAGCAAAGAAGTCCTTAGAATTCAAGAAAAGAAGATAGGATGACTTTTTTACTTATATAAGTAAAAAAATCTGAATGTCTAAGGGACATAACTAAGCCAAAAAATTATTTACCTATACAAGTAAATAAAATACACTTGTATAAGTATCCTACAAATTTACTTATATAAGTATATTTGTATTTACTTCTTCAAGTAAATAAAAATTACTTGTACAAGTAGTACCCCTGACTGATAATGCTGTGACATTTGAAAGGTAATAAACAGTTGTACCAGAGACACAAGATACACCAGTTCTGTGAATGTTGAAATTAATGCAAGAATCAAATGGAATATTTTAGAAGACATTTAATAGAAAATAGTAACACAGCCTTGCAGAAAATCTGCAGGCATTTCAAAATTGCCTCAAATTTGACTATTAAAGTCCAATAAATGTTGAAAATTGAATCTTTTTTTCAAAATTAAAAGAGAGCTTTTATATTGTAGGCAATATTAGTAGTAAACTGATCAAAGCATATTGGAGTAAGTAAATTTGCAATCTCGAATTTTTTTACAAAGTGTGGTGGGATGTACTGACATACAAAGATATAACACAATATATCCTGTCTATCATATGCATGTCTATCATAAACTAAAAAATATCTATACTTGTCCTTGGTTGAGAAGACACCACAAATAGATCTTTATTATTTGGCCCTTTGTCACAAAAATGCAGCTCCTGTTTTTCAGCATCCAAGACATCATATGTTTCTGTTTCTTCTTCAAATAAAAAGGAAAAAGAAGCATAGTATTTCAACAATTACAAAGCTTGCCTCTTATTTCCATTCTTTTTGAAATACTTCATTCTGCATGACTGAATTACAATAAAAGTATATGAAATGAGCTGTATTCATTTTTCTTCAGCAGTCAGAGATATAACTCTATAGGGTTATTACAGAAAATATCTTGCATGTGTTATTACAGATACTTTCATGAGTTGTCTACTCTTTATTCCTTTAATTTTCTAAATCTGCAATAACATATGTTTGTTATTTGTAAAATAAATCAAAAATATTTTAATTTATAATGGGCTCTAGGGAACTCTTGAGACTTTGCACAGAAACTAAATGCATAGCCTTGATAATTAATTTTTTATTTAAATTAATACATTTTTGATTAACCATGGTAAATCAATGAGACGAGGCTTTTAAGGGATAAACTTAGCTGTAATAACATAGCTTAGTTATTAAAGGAATGTAACTTATTATATGAGACATTTGGGAATTACTGGGAAGCTTGCGCAGAACCTCATTGCATGCTCTGGTCATTATTTCTTACAATAAATTAAAATACATTGTAATTAAGCATGATGTATGTCTGAGAAAATGCTTTGGAGTGATATAGAGAAGCTGTGATAACACCCTTTAGTTATTACAGGCATATTTTTTCTGTAATAACATATAAGTGTACTATGCAAAATTGGCAAACTATGAACTGTTATATCTTTCTATAGTTAAGTATACATAAAGACAATAGTAATATCAATAGAACTTGTATGCATTTTAACTAAACTAGTGATGTATATTGTCCCTTTGAAACATGTAACATACATATGTTAACACAGTTCTTTGATTTTTTAGTCCACAATAACAAATGTATGTTATTTTTCTGTAATAACCCTATAGAGTTATATCCCTGACTGTTCAGTATCACCAATAACATCCATTATTGTACTTATAAAATTAACATCCTAAGGCTTATATTTACAGAGATGTTGTTTACAGAGCAGGTAAATTTAGATACAATCCATGTAAACTTGTTGATATTTTGAATAAACTTTTTCTTAAAGGTAATCAATTTAACACAGTAGTACAATTTTTAAAAATTGTTTTATCAGTACTAACATTGATTTTGTTTTTGAAAAATTAAAACATAATTAAGTATATATCGCTATTATGTACCGCTATGAGAACTCATGATCCTACTTCCTATAGATACAGTTAACTTGGCATTTCTTTTAGCATTTCACAATGCAATACTCTTCTTACTGTTTATGACTGTTTGTAATTGGCTTTAAACTAGCTTTCAGTAATCAAGTACTCTTACATATTTGTGTTTTGTGTCTATTGTTTTTATGATAATCTTTACTATTCATGATCCATTTTATGCTGATATTCTTAAAGATAAAGTTTTCCCACAAGTATCACATAAACTTAACATTATCAAAGATACACAAAAATGAGGTCAAGGTCAGATGAAACCTGCCAGACCTTACAATCATTCCATACATCAAATAAAGTTGACCTTATTGGTTATAGTATCTGATAAACAGATTTCACCATGAAACCTTAACATTGACCAATGAACCATGAAAATGAGGCCAATGCCAGATGAACCCTACCAGACAGACATGTATAGTGTACAATCATTTCATACACCAATTATAGTTGACATTGCTTATAGTATTAGAAAAACAGACCAAAACACAAACATTTAACATAGACCAAATTGAACATGTCAAGTATAAACTTTGAAATCATAACGGTTCTCAAGATATAGAGCGGACACGATCTTTACCATAGGACATGGGGTTGTCAGCTAAAACCAAAGTTTTTGACCTTGACCCTAGACCTAGGAAGTTTTACATACATTATGACACACCCTCTGGTGTTGGTTAATATACATGTCAAGTATAAACTTTGAAATCATAACAGTTCTCTAGAAATAGAGCGGACACAATTTGTTACGGACGGACAGACTGATCACTATAGGGCGTCCGCCATTTGGCGGGGCCCTAATAAACTTTTTTTTAATCAGTCATTTAACCATGAAAATGAGGTCAAGGACAAATGACATATGACAGACGCAAACTTCATAACATAAGGCATATGTATGTAAGGTTACGAAGCCTCCAGGTCTTCTACCCTCTGAAATATAGTGAATTCAAATAGTTTATGCTGCCATTGCCGGATTGTAGTCCCTATGTCTCGCATTCTGCGAATTTCTTCATAGGGGAGACAAAATTTAAATCTGACTGGAACTGCAAAATGACAAGCCCCATCCCCACAGTATAAAGAAGTTGATGGAAATACCCCTTCATCTTTACAAAAATGCTTAGCTTATATACATACCTTCAAAATTGTATGTCCTTATGATGACAATTTTTGGTTTTCCTGCAAAAGCTGTGGATTCTTGAATCATAGAAAATATTTCTGTATTTTCAATTTCGTTGCCATCTTTGTCATATATTTTCCCTGGTTTATATTTATCTCCACCAGAGAAGATTACTATAACTAAGCTGTCAAAAACTGAATTCTCTTTGTTGTTTAAATGATCTTGAAGGAAAGTCTTCATATTCTATATCAAAAATAAACAATTGAAAAATCTTCTTTAAATACAGCAATTAATATGTCATTCAACCAGAGAAAATAACAAGAAATAAGCTACAAAATCTTAAATTATCTGCTTACCTATGCGTTCTTCACAACTTAAAAAAAACAGTAAACTTATTTGTAGATTTGATTTTTTTGTCTATTAATTTTGCTTTCCACAGATACTTTCTTTCCATTATTGCCTTCCAGATAATATCCAAAACACTAAAAGTATCATTATATGCTACTAATATTGGATTTTTCCCCCTATGTTCCATTTTGAATAATGATTTTGATTCATGTTGGTTGAAAAAATGAAGGTGAATTTCCCTCAAAAATATGACTCAACAAATAAGGAATCAAACTTTCATCAATAATTTTAGATAAATGTGTAACAAATTTATTTTTATCTTCAGTATACATAGACAATGAAATCTATCTTATTAAAGATACAAGTAAAAAGACCATGCAAACAAGAGCCTTGTAAAATTTAATATATGCAAAATTTCAGAATGTGTTGATATGAATTTAAGCTCAACTGTCAGATCCAATTAATCCCTATGAGCTATTGACATGACTTGACTTCTAAGTTTGTTTGTTTTTTGATCCAGTGATTCAAGGAAGAAGAAAAAAGAAGGCATCTGTTTGTGCATCTTTCCTCTGTCAATATCATTTCCATTTTTGGCATGTTGTCAGAAATGTGGACACAGGATCTGTATTCAATCAGATTGTAATGTTTTCAAATTTTATTTTATTGTGCTGATGGTTCAAAGCTAGAAGTATCCTTCAAAAATTTGAATAACAGACATTTGTATATATTCAAACATGAAAAAAAAATATATCTTATCAAATAGTAAACTAAACTTAGTTGATTTTGTGATTCTTTAAAAATAGGATATAGGATATAGGATGAGGCTACAGAAAGTTTCACAGTACTTTGTACAATATTTTGCCCAGAATTGTTAGTAACTTGTTAATATTACCATGCATATATAATTTGTCTATGCACAGACATCTAGCAATTTGATGTGTCTAATGCCATCTTAAACTCGCCCTGAGTTTTGAGATTCTGATCCATGCTGAAGGCCTAAAAATTCTGGAACATTGAGATGAAAAATGCAAGAAAAGCACAGTTCCATTGTTTTGGTTTTAATAGAGTGCACACAGGAATTGTTTCATACAATAAAGACCATTTCAATCATGTTGAAAAATTAATAAAAATCTTAGTAGACTCTTAATCAATATTTTTAGCATTAACATACATCACCAGAAACATCCATAACTGCATCAGCTCCTTTTGATTCATACTGCATATGCTTGAAAAGTTGTAATATAGAAGTTTTATCAAAGTCTACACAGCTTCTACACTTCGTACTACAATCATTTGCCACTGGCTGGGCATTTTGTGTTCCGTCTGACTGGAGATTATCTTTCTCTTTTGACTGGGAATCATCTGTTTCATTTGGCTGGAGATCATCTGTTTTCGTTGACTGGGGAGCATGTGTATCCTTTGACTGGGGATCATTTGTTCCCTTTGACTGGGGATTATCTATTTCCTTTGACTGGGGGTCTATTGTTTCCTTTGACTGGGTATCATCTGGTGATTTCGTATCGGTGTTTGGTTTGTTACATGGAACATTTGATATAATTAGACATTTTCCTTTTTTGCTGCCTGTCATATGGTATACCTAAAAAACAAAACAAATAACAGACATTCACTGATTAATAAACCTGCAATGTTATGCTTGTATATATAAATGGAAAACATTAGCAACTTGTATGAATGAAAATACAAAAACAGAACCAGTGAACACATTTCCCATTTAAGAGCATGATTCAAGATAGATACCCTCTTCTAGCTTTCATCTTGGATTGTAAAATAGCAGAAAACAATCGGTATAGATTTGTAAGAAATATGCAAATTTAGAGAGAGGAATGCAATTCATTTGTAAGACTTTCCATCTAAATAAAGAAAACTGTGTGTTCATTTTATTATTATGACTTTTTAACAAGTACATTTGGTACATAGAATTTGAAAGAAAGTATGATTTTAATTTAGACCCCATCTATTTTCTAAATGTATAGAAAGCTTCAGATTTTTATTCTAAAATTCTTAATTCTTCCAAATAATATACATGATATATTTGTGGCGAAATTTTGTCATATTCCTGCACTGATCACCTATCATGCCTATTGGAGGGTGATGGCAAGTTTGCTTCCATTCCTGACAGTTTACTAGTGTATCAAATTACAGACACTGGTGTAATACCACCAAAACATAGTATGTCACATCTGGTTTTATACGAAAAAATGTTGAAAATAATATTTCCTTGAATTTGACAGTTTCATTGCAGAGTCAAAAACACATATCTTGGGTGTTTTAAAGCACCATTCTTTTTATATCTGGTGTTTCTATAAAATATTTTAGAAACTTGAGATGACATGGTTACTAAAGCTTGCAGCTAATTGTAAATAGGAATAAAAGTGGTGAAAATTTGATTGGTTTATATAACTAAATTCCGGTGATGGTTATTATCTTATATGCAATGATATGTTATGTGAAACTTTCACTGATAAAACTTTACTCATGCCAAGTGTTTCTTTAATTGAAACAAAGAAAATTTTTGCACATTTTAAAAATGTTAATTTACCAAAGACTAATAGGGGAAAAACAATGGTGGTATTACTCCTTCAACTAAATTTTGTATAAAGGAAGATAACTCTAATTTTTTATATTACTTTTGCAATGACATCATTGATATTTTTAGAACAGATACTAGATTCATGAACCATGCAAAATTTATGTAATTTCTTTACTAGTATATGGTTATACATATACACATCATTTTGTAACTTTCTGAGTATATATTGCATTGATAGAAGTAAAGAATGTTGAGCTCAATGCACTATGTTTTGTGTATAGCAAAAGTTGTGATAAAATTTGGAAAATTGATAACTATCAAGCCAGCCACATAAGGGTTTTGATTACATGAAAGCAATCTTTACCCCAAAAACCAATACGTCTCCCATTTACTATAAAATGTGATTGTTACATCTGTATAAGTATCTTATTGGCTACTTAATGCATATTATTCGTTAACTCTAATTAACAGCTCTTTTTGAGCTAATTTGACCATTCCAAATTACCTGTTTGCTTTCACAAATCTTTGTAAATGATTCTTTAGTACATATTGGTATATCACTTTTCTTTAACATTTTCAATCTGTTCTTTAAATCTGGCCAATCTACAAGTAAACAATAGAACAATTTACTATCCCACCAAACAACTAAACTTTTTTGCTACCAGGTAATACCTTAGATGACAATTATAGGCGTAATAATCAAAATCTGCAATCCATTGTTTCCAAACACAACTGAATAAAATATTTTCTAAACAAGCTAAGTGGCTATGGGTTGTGAGCTATTGCTTACTAATAATACCTCCAATTAAAGTATTTGGCAATTAAACAGGAAGCTGAATAGCAATTAATAATAGATGTAAAATACCAATCATGCAGCTGTCAGTCTGGGGTAATACTTATACTAGTGTATATCATTTATTGGTACAGGTAAATTATTATGGAGGTACAGTACTTGCAACCTTATGTGTTACTGTTTTAAGGAAAACTTGACTGATCAGTGACAGAAGTTTGACTGATCCATGAATGATCGTTGGTCGATGACCCATAGAATCCGTCAGATACGTCAAAAAGGCTATGTGAGAGTTACTGTGACAACAGTCAAGGATCGATTAGTCAATCAATTATATGCATGGATCAGATGGATACATATATAATTAAAATTCTTACCGTATGTGAAACGAACTCCGCAGTATTTACAACGCGGACCTTATACCCGATATTTTGTAATCAAGACGGTCGCAAGAACATATATAAAAAATATATAAAATTACTTTTAACCATTATATGTAATTTTTTCATTATAGGTTCTTTAATTTTTCTTCTAAATGAATTACATAATTGCAGAATAAAATTGACATGATCAGAATGCTTCTGTATCACTAAAAAGACATAAAATGTTATTATTTGAAATAAGTACATGTACCAATATTTGGCAATCATACATTTTAATGCAAATAGAAGAGTTAGTTGTCATAAAATGTAAATAATATAACAGTAAAGATACTTAAAGCTTTGCTTGTGTTGATTAAGAGTGCAATTATTTCTTTAATTTTAATGAAAATCATGAACAGCCATTGGTTTTTAGCACTTTTCTTTACATCAGGATGGGTTGTTTTTTTTATTAAATATGATATATATATGAGATAAGTTACTACAATTTTGTTCACTTTGTTTAAATAAAGAGCTGCACCATGAGAGCATGATATGCCCGTCGCTTTTTCAAAGAATAAAGTTTCATAACTCCTCAATGTCATATCAGAAATTTATAAAATAAACTGTTATCACAAAGATATGTCTCGCCTTTTTGTAATTTTGATAATGCAAATGTTGAAATTAAAATAGCAATACTTTAACATGTAAGTTATGCAAATATTCAAAGTCAATGAACCATGATGAGGGATTGGGGCTATATAATCTCCATGGAAACGATACTTGCAAATGCCAATAAATTTGCATACCAAATATCATTGACTTAACATTAGCAGTTCATCTTAAACTGATCTAATCACAAACTAATACATGCCATAAACTAAGCAAAAGTTTCAAAGTCAATTGATCAGGACTGAGGGGGCGGGGCCAAATATTCTCCATGGAAATGAGATGTGCTAATGCTTTTACAACTGCATACCAATTAGCATTGGCCTACCACTAACGGTTCCCCTTGAACTGACCTAATCACAAACTAATACATGTAAACTAAGCAAAATTTTCAAAGTCAATAGACCATGAATGAGGGAGCGGGGCCAAATATTCTTGATGGAAATGAGATGTGCTAATGCTTATACAACTGCATACCAATTATCATTGACCTACCACAAACGGTTCCCCTTAAACTGACCTAATCACAAACTAATACATGAAAACTAAGCAAAAGTTTCAAAGTCAATAGACCATGAATAAGGGGGTGGGGTCAAATAATCTCCATTGAAATGAGATATGCCAATACTTATACAACTGCATACCAAATATCATTGACCTACCACTAGTGGTTCCCCATAAACTGACCTAATCACAAACTAATACATGTAAACTAAGCAAAGTTTCAAAGTCAATAGACCTTGACTGAGGGGGCAGGGCCAAATAATCTCCATTGAAATGAGATGTGCCAATGCTAATACAACTGCATACCAAATATCATTGACCTACCACTAGTGGTTCACCATGAACTAGACCTAATCACAAACTAATACATTGTTGACACCACCGTTATTTTAATAGATATAAAACAGTCACCAAAATTTCATGAAAAATGCTCAAAGCACTTTTAAGTTATTGTCCAAAAAAACTGGAAAATCCCCCCTTTTTTAATGAATAAAACCCCATAACTCAGAAACGTGAAATCTAAAATTTATAAAAATCGAAAGGGAGCTTACGTCAATAGATATAAACAATTCACCAAAGTTTCACGAATACTGCTCAAAGCAATTTTGAGTTATTGTCGGAAAACTAAAAAATACCCTTTTTTATATGAATAAAACCCCATAACTAGGAAACGTGAAATCTAAAATTTTTAAAAATCAAATGGAGCTCACGTCAATAGATATAAACAATTCATCAAAGTTTCATGCAAATTGGGTGAAGCGTTTTTGAGTTATTTATTGTCCGACATGTTGACGACGGACAGACAGATGGACGGACGGACAAGAGGACAGACACCTGTATACCATAATACATCCCGTAAACAGGCGTATAAAAACCAATGTGCCTTCATTTCATAGAAATCAGTGCACTCTTATTTGCCTAAACTTATGTGTGTTTTGAAAAAAGAATGTAATTATATCTATATTTAAATGGAAATGATAAACTGTCATAGGTTTGTAGTACTTTTTGTACATCAGGATAGGTTGTTTTATTATGATGAATATCAGAGAAAAATACTAAACTTTTGTTTGCATTGATTAAAAATGCCAATATTTCTTCTTTTTATAAAAAAAAATGCTATGTTATTTGCAATCAGTAATTTTTATTGCCTCAGGATAAGTAATATTTCATAAAATATCAATATTCTGAGGATAAAGATGCTAAAACTTATGCATGTGTTGATTAAGAGTGCAATTGTTTCTTCTTTCAAATGAAAAACCATACACTGCTATTAATTTTTAGCACTTTTTAAACATCAAGATGGGTTGTACTTCATAAAATAGGATGAATATAACAGAAAAGATTCCAAAATTTTGTTCACATTGTTTAAAAATGCCAATATTTTTTTCTTTTTTCAAAAATAATTAATGCACTGTTGTTTGCAATCAGTTATTTTAAATGACTCTGGATAAGTTATTTTTTTAATAAAAATTGAATAATATACATGATATAAGGATAAAGAAACTTAAAATTTTGTTTGTGTTGAATAAGAAATTTCATCTTTTTCTTTGATTTAATAGAAATCATGAACAGCCTTTGGTTTTAGTACTTTTTGTAAATGTAGAATACTTGTTTTTCATAAAATATGATGAATATCAAAAATTTTGTTCGCATTGTTTAAAAATACAAATATTTCTTCTTTTTACATATGTTTTATGAAAAATAATGCAATGTTATTTGCAATCAGTTATTTCAAATGCCTCTTAATAATTTTTTTTTTATAAAATTTTAATCATTATAAGGATAAAAATAGTAAAACTTTTGTTTATGTTGAATAAGAATGCAATTATTTCTTTATCTTAACAGATATCATGAACTGCCATTGGATTTTAGTACTTTTTGTACATCAGGATGGGTTATTTTTCATAAGATAGATTGAGTACCAGAGAAAAGATACTAAAATACTGTTTGCATTGTTAAGAAATACCAATATTTCTTCTTTACATCAAAAATAAAGGACTGTTGTATGCAATCAGTTATTTTTAATGACTCTAGCTTAGTAAATTTTTATAAAATTTAATTAATATAAGGATAAAATTACATAAACTTTAGTTCGTGTTGAGTAAGAATGCAATTATTTCTTTATCTTAATAGATATCATGAACTGCCATTGGATTATAGTACTTTTTGTATATCAGGATGAGTTGTTTTTCATAAAATATGATGAATAACAGAGAAAAGATACTAAAATTTTGTTCACATTGTTTAAAAATACCAACATGTCTTCTTTCTATCAAAAATAATGTACTGTTATTCTAATTGCCTCTGGATAAGTTATTTTTTTTTTATAGAATTAGAATAATATTATAGATACTTAAACTTGTCTTTGTGTTAAATAAGAGTGCAATTATTTCTTCGTTTCATTAAAATTGAATGGAAATCATTTAACCATTATTGGATATAACTTTTTTTGTACATTACGATGGGTTGTTCTTCAAAAAAGGGCGCAGTTAACATTTGCATGCATTTAGGGATTACAATTTTTTACGTTTGCCTGCAGCTTTTGATTACATTTGTGTGCATTCATTTTACAGGAAACACAGTTAAAATAAAGATAATTCATAATAAGTATAACTACAGTTAAACAAATTTGGAACAAATATTTGTAAATTTAAATTTAAATAAGAAAAGTAGGGGTTAGCGGGCAAAATTTTTAATGGCACTACATGGATAAAACCAGAGGATTCCAAATATCTGACAAAAAAATCAAAATGAAGAGGAGCGAACATCCTTAATTGCGAATATTTCAGAGTAAATAGTATTCTGTTTCATAATATTACTGAATAGTGATCGGTTTAATAAATAATTTAAGACAGTTTGTAAAAATGCTTCAAGACACACACATGGAGGTTTGTCAGAAACAAATTGGTGGACAAAATCATTAGTGAAGATGGATATATTTCCAGGACGAAGTGCTTGTGCATAATAAAACGAACTTTATAATCCTCCTCGAAAATAATAGTTATATAAGTAGATAAGTATAATCTACCTGTATTTACCTGATTTTACCTTAAAAGAATGCGTGCAAATGTAATCAAAAGCTGCGTGCAAACGTAATGATTTTTGCACGCAAATGTAATGGTAATGCGCGCAAATGTAATGCACCGCCAAAAAATATGATGAATTTTAAGGGAAAGTATACTTTATTATTTGTTTTCATTTTTTGGAGTGTCCCACTTGCATATTTCTTCATTTAATAAAAAAAAATCACTAAAATTTGCAATATTAGATCATTTGATTTATTAGAGCATTTTCTGCAAATTTAGTAGATTTAACAATCGCGATAAACACCATTTTTAGCACTCATCGGGTTTGAAAATAGCAATAAGATTTAAATTTTAGTTTTTTCTGCATATTTCTCTTCTCTTATAACAAAAGCAAAATTATATTTCAGAAAACTTTGCTGATAATTAATAATAAATGTCTGGCTTCCATACTTGAAAGATTGGTATTTTTCCATGGTGCCATTTTAATCAATTGAAACGAAACTAAGATTCTGTAATTAGTATGAGTTCAACATGTGATGTAGTAGAGTTCAATCTGTCAGAAAGGTCAATTCAGGTCCGATCTGTCTGATCAGTGAAAGATTTTCACTATAAACATGATAAATCTGACGGATTGGTGACGTGAGTTTGAGGCGAACTTGACTGATCACTAAAATAGTAACGCCTAAGGTTGCTAGTACTGTAGAGTTATATCCTTTAGACATTCAGATTCTTTTAACTTATACAAGTAAAAAACTAGGGTGTTTAACTGTCTGTCATTAGCAGTTTCTTTGCTATTCATAAAAAGTATAATTTCATGGACCATGAAGATCTTATTTGTCTGTAATCTTCAAAAAATCAAGCCTTCAATTTTTTAGGGTCTTTTGCAGATACTTTTAAACATCTGTGCATAGTAGATTTCTTTGTTTATATTTAGTGAGATCAAAGGTTGAGCTCTCATTAAAAAAATATAAGCAAAACAGAAAAAAAACTATTTAGGCATGTTTTGACCTTCCAAAACTTGAGAATTTAAGGTGTTGTAAAAAAAATTACTTGTATAAATCAATTTTTGGAGAAGATTAAGGGAACATTATTCAAAGCATAAAAAGGAAATTAAAATCTTACAAATCTATTTATACAAGTAAATATTACTTACATCTTCAAGTAAATAAACATGCTTTGTATAAGTATAACCCCTAGCTGACAGTATAAAGCACTCACATAAATGCTGCATGGTACCAAATTTCATGGTGTTCTGATTTATACATCGTGAGAATAACGTGACGAAAAATTTCATACAAGGTCATTCTGAGTAAGAGTATATCAGTATTAAGGTGGTACCCAACACCTTGACTAATACTAATTTGGCTCGTTTAATTTTCATATAATTTTGACAAAATGTTTACTTTGACCCTTTGACAAAAATATAAAAATTTCAAAAAATTTGAACCAACCACTTTATCAGAAAAATTTCATTGGTTATATAGCAGTTTGACAAACACTAATTTTGATCATTGAGAAGCTTAATATTTTCTTAACAATACAACGTAACTAAAACGTTTAGCTGATTTTTACAGAGTTATCTCCCTGTAGTGTTAGGTACCACCTTAAAGTAAACTTGATTGGTAATAAATCTGACAATGCATCACAGGTCCATTCTAGACTTCAATGTTAGCACATTTGGATATATTGTCAAAATATGATAATTTTGTGTATTTTTTAGACCTAAAACCTTGAGGAAACCCTTGGCCACATCCTATGATCTGAAATGTTTAGTAACCAAAAGATGTCAATGATGTTCTTGAATCCCTAGACTCAAACAAAATTCTTGATCAGGGGTGGCAGCCAAGTTAATTGTGCTAAAAACTGTTACAAATTATATTGAAAAATTTGACCAAACTGAAGTTTCAACACAAATAATGAATAATCAAGGGGTCATTACTTCTTCATTTATAATGTCATGAATGTGATGGGCCAAAAACAAAAAATTTTGTATTTTTATAAATATCACTACTATTTCTATGTGGAAATTTGTAGTATTGTGGCCTGATTAAAAAAAACATCAAAATCTTAGGGCCAATGTTAACCCTTTATGAACTTACTCCTTTCAAAAAGCTCTAATAATAATTTATTTGTAGTTCCCTAGAAAAATGTGAAGGAAATTTCATAAATTGTCATTATGTGTTAGGATTTATGTATTTGGAAAACAGGAATTTGATGAGCAAATCATGAAGAAGATAAAGGTTATTGTAAAACCAGTAACTTCAAAATAATAATATTTCTCTTATCCATGCTTAAATTCAAAAACATGGATACTATTATCATGATTATACCAATATCACATCAGGGATGATAGTCCATGTAAATGCATAGATCTCATCTTTTAGCAGTTTTTTAATCTAACTGAAATCTGAAAACAATATATAAATCTACTATTCTTCTCATACCTTCATAACCTTGATTAGAATTTGCAGATTCTAGTTTGTTCTTTTTATCTGGATTCTCAGAATGTTGTGTTGATGTCTTCTGTACGTCTTCATTTTCATCATTAGGTTTTTTTGAATCATCATCTGGTTTGCCAGTATTTTGTGCATTTTTTCCTGTACCTTTGGACCCGTCCTTCACTCTCAAGTAATCAGCAACTTCTTCATTTGTTGATGCTTCCAGCGCATTAATAAAACTGTTATAAGCTTTCGTTCCTCTCCGTGGTAGGATGGATAACAGTTCCCTGGTCTGTCCAGAAGGCCGCGGTTTTTTATGCTGTAAAAGTGTAATGCAAATTTTAAATTACCAATTACGAATGTCCATTAAAATCCCTATTCTATGGCATTTTATCATGAATATAATTTTACCCCTATTCCTTATTTAAGGATAGGCCAAAGCCCATGTTCAGCACATTTTAGGGTCTGACAACGATTTAAATCAATGTGTATAAACTTCTTGCAGTTGTTCAATTTATTCCCTAAAGTCAGTTAGTTTCCAAACTAATGAAACATAGTGTGCCTTGTCTTTAAAATTTGAAACTGGAGGAGTTGATCTAACTTTGCCAAAACTTCAAAGAAGTTCAACTTTTTTTGCATTTGTTTCTTAAAGAAAATGAAATAGATACAAAATAATATAAAATGTCTTGCCTGTTTCTTATTTCTGACCAGTTTCAGTATAAAAGCTTAATGTTGCCTGCCATAATATTAAGTCCAATCAGTAGAATACAGGAAAATTTAAAAAACAAAAATTTTCTTCAGATTCTTTTTCTTGATCATAAAAAAGCTTATGTCCAAGTTTTGTAACTTTGCATGAAAGTTTTCAAAAAATATAAACATAAAAAGATGTGGTATGGCTGCCAATTATCTTGGACGTAATAAGATGTTTAAATTCTTGTCTGAGTCATGACATCAGTGTTTCTTTAAATGGGAAAGGAAGTCATGGAAGTATATTTTCAAAAAGTTATCTGACAAACCTTAATTGAATCCATCATCCCTGATGTCAGTATATCATCGCTAACTAAATGATCACATACTTCTTCCACATTATGCAGATTTTTTATAAGATAGGCAAAGCTAGTCTGAAGAACATTTCTGTGTTTCTGTTCCATGGTCTTAGTGTAATTCTGTAAGACAAAGAGATTAGTGTTACAACATTTGAATGGTAATTTCTATTTTGAAGATTATTTTATCATTTTTTTTCCATCCTGTAAGTTAAGTCTAACCAACTGAAAACAAAATGAACCATACATTAAACAATGAATTATTTAAAACAAGAAAATTATGAAATCTGCCGGTTTAACGTCCAGTTGCAAATAAATGCATATCCAGGACAAGAACATGATAATATGAGATATGAATATAAACCCTGGTTTGTACTAGACATGCTAGACCGACAAGCTAAGCCTGATTGCTAGTTGACAAGGTTATAGTCTGCAGAAAGACTTATCACCTTGCGTGGACACATTATTCTGATTCCAAGACAAGCGGTCTTTGCTCTTACTTCTAATTGGTGCGTGCTTATATAGCTAAGAAGCAGCAAATACCAATTTTCAAGTCTTTGGTTTGACCCGGCTGGGGTTCAAACCAATGACCTCCTGCACTAGAGGCAGGCATGCTACCACAAGACCACCAAATCTGGAACTAACTAGACTAAGGAAGGTAAGCCATTAATGCATGGCTTGGAGAGGTTAGTTATATGTAGTTTTATTTTTACTGCTAATTTAACTAATTGAAAACCCTTAACCATGTTAACCATGCATGACTAACGCTACTTAGTCCAGTAGATTAAAATAGACAATAAACTTTACTGATTTTCTATTTTCAAAATTATTCCAGTTTCTTAAATATTTCCCTTTTAATCATTTTTATAATGAATTTCTTGAAATTCTAACTTGAGTAATTTGCTGTTTCAAGATTATTTTTACGATCCATGTAAGGGTCTTTTTTTTTAGCTTTCTTATGTGGTATATGGATTTAAATCATTATTGAAAGCTACCGGTATATGGTTACTTTAATTTATATAGTTGCTAACTCTGGTTGCTAACTTCTCTATGAATATACATAATACATACAGGTATAAGAGAAAGCAGAATTCAAGAAACTTCAAGATTGAGGCTCAGGCGTTTAGAGATAAAGTATTCAAACTGATCGAGTTCTTGTTTAATTTTATGAATCTCTGTATATATGTCAATAAACATGATAAAAGATGTGTGGTGTTTGTAAATGAGACAACAATTCACAAAAGGACAGCCAGATAGAGGTGAACAAATGTTCTTGAAAATGCAATAATAGTACCTTTTTATACGACTGCAAAAAAATTTTTGTGGTCGTATATTGGTATGACGTTGGCGTCGTCGTCTGAAGACACATTGGTTTTCGCACTCTAACTTTAGTTTAAGTGAATGGATCTCTATGAAATTTTACCAAAAGGCTCAATACCACAAAAGGAAGGTTGGGATTGATTTTGGGGGTTATGGTACCAACAGTTAAGGAATTAGGGGCCAAAAATAAGCATTTTTGTAACTTCCAGACATAACTTGTGTGTTAGTGTATGGATCTCTCTGACATTGTACCACAAGGTTCCATATCACAAAGGGAATACTGGGATTGATTTTGGGGGTAATTGCCTCAAAATTTTAGGACTTAGGGGCCAAAAAAGGGGCAAAAAACAAGCATTTTTCTAGTTTCATGACAATAACTTGTGTGTGAGTGTATGGATCTTTCTGAAATTGTACTACAAGGTTCCATATTACAAAGGGAAAGCTGGAATTGAGTTTGGGGGAAATTGCCCAAAACGTTTAGGAATAAGGGGCCAAAAGGGGGCCAAAAATAAGCATTTTTCTAGTTTCCAGACAAAAACTTGTGTTCAAGTGTATGGATCTCTCTGAAATAGTACTGCAAGGTACCATACCACAAAGGGAAGGCTGGGATTGATTTTGGGGGTAATTGTCTCAAAATTTTAGGAATTAGGGGCAAAAAACAAGCATTTTTCTAGTTTCAGGACAATAACTTGTGTGTAAGTGTATGGATCTTTATGAAATTGTACAACAAGGTTCCATATCACAAAGGGAAAGCTGGGTTCGAGTTTGGGGGTAATTGCCCTAAACGTTTAGGAATTTGGGGCAAAAAAATAAGCATTTTTCTAGTTTCCAGACAATAACTTGTGTTCAAGTGTATGGATCTCTCTGAAATAGTACTGCAAGGTACCATACCACAAAGGGAAGGCTGGGATTGATTTTGGGGGTAATTGCCTCAAAATTTTAGGAATTAGGGGCAAAAAAGGGGCAAAAAACAGCATTTTTCTAGTTTCAGGACAATAACTTGTGTGTAAGTGTATGGATCTTTATGAAATTGTACAACAAGGTTCCATATCACAAAGGGAAAGCTGGGTTCGAGTTTGGGGGTAATTGCCCTAAACGTTTAGGAATTTGGGGCAAAAAAACAAGTATTTTTCTAGTTTCCAGACAATAACTTGTGTTCAAGTGTATGGATCTCTCTGAAATTGTACTGTAAGGCACCATACATTGTAACACAAAGGGAAGGCTGGGATTGAGTTTGGGGGTGATGAATCATAAAGGGGGTTCAAAAAATTTCAGGGGGGATTTTTTTCCCCTTTTTTTTTCTTTAAAATTTTCCATTTTAAATTAGTTATTTCTGATTTTTGTATAAAAGGAAATAATAATGATATGGTTTGAATAGGCAAATTAAAAAAATTTAAGTTCTTAGACCACATTCATTCTGTGTCAGAAACCTATGCTGTGTCAAATATTTAATCACAATCCAAATTCAGTGCTGTATCTAGCTTGAATGTTGTGTCCATACTTGCCCCAACTGTTCAGGGTTCGACCTCTGTGGTCGTATCAAGCTGCGCCCAGTGGAGCATTTTATTTTAATTTGTGAATCTCTTAACACTTAAGACTTAATCCAAAATGAAAGTTGTGAATAAGTCTAACAGTAACACCATAACAAACAAAGAATTTCAAGAACAGTGTAACATGTCCGGAAACTTCGAAAAAATCTTGGACATCAATATAACAGAAAATGGTGCATACAAACTACTAAAAAACCTTAATCCAAACAAGGCAGCTGGGCCAGATAATATAACACCACGAGTCTTAAAGGAACTTGCATTACATAAAGCACCAATCCTGACAACAATATTCCGCTGCTCATATCATACAAGTGAAGTGCCAAGTATTTGGAAATAAGCAAACATCTGTCCAGTGTACAAGAAAGGGAAGAAATACGATCCAATGAATTTAATAATAGACCAGTCTCTCTCACCTGCATATCATGTAAACTAATGGAGCATATTATAACTAGCCATATTGTCCCATGCTGATACACACAACATTATGTATCCACTTCAACAAGGGTTTCAAAGGGGATTATCATGCATGTGTCATATGAATCTCAACTAATTGAATTTATTGATGAAGTAACTAACAACTTAGAATAATTTAGATCAAGGAAAACAAACAGATTGTCTCATAATTGATTTCTCCAAGGCATTGGATAAGGTTAGTCATAGCCTTCTCATCCACAAACTGAAGCATTATCATCTGGGAAAACAGGTAAAACAAATGAGTGGATAAACAACTTCCTCTGACAGTGATAGAACACAGTCAGTAGTGGTGGAGGGTGAAACATCAACTTCCATACCTGTTACAGTCCGGTGTACCACAAGGATCCGTCCTGGGACCTAGCCTATTTTTGTTTTATATAAACGACATGCCCCAGGGGATACAATCAACCGTACAACTGTTTGCTGATGACACTATTGCTTATGTCACAATCTCATCCAATGCAGATGCCCCAAACCTACAAAAGGACCTCGACAAACTGGCTGTATGGGAAACAAGGTATTGGGTCCGTTTGCACTAAATACACTTTCGCACCCTACAGTACACATTCGCACCCAACATGTTCACCCCCTGGGTCCGTTCGAACCCTACATGTTCGCACCCTTTTTTTTAAATTCAAAAACCTGATGAATTATTAGATGTTTTTTACATGTTTGTATCAAAATATTTTTTAATTTTTAAATGAAATATTGTTTTAAATAGATTTGATGATTAATTATCATATGTTAAAATTATGTATGATTATTACTGTTAATATGGTGTTTACACAGCTAAACTTGGTGTTATTGTTATGTGTTTGAGAATCGTGATTGTTGTTTCAAACTAGCTTTGATGTAAATTCTGCATGTAGTTAGCATGTATTTTGCTTGGTATGAGTAAATTCAAAATGTTATTGTTGTTGAATTTAATAGCAGTTTGGTATCTTAACATTAAAAAAATATTCAACACAAAAAACCTTTTTAGAAAGTCACTTTATTTTGAAACAATGAAATTTTTTTTTATATAGCAATACACTAACCAAAACACGATTAAAAAAATATTCAACACAAAAAATGTCACTTTATTTTGAAACAATGAAAAAAAAACTTATTTATAACAATACATTTGTACGAACCAGTCCTCCAGGAATGTACAAGGAATCTAGTAGGAATTTGTTAAGAATTCCTACCAGAAAAGTGTGCATATTCCAGCTTAATTGTAGCAGGAAAAACAGCAGAAAATTTAAATTAGCAGGATTTCTTAGTAGGAATAATGTGATTCCTACCAGGAATATTCAAATTAGCAGGGATAATTTGGTAGGAAAGTTAATCCCTACCTGGATATTTGTCAAATTTTCCTGCTAATTTGAATATTCCTGGTAGGATTTTTTTCATAAATTCCTACTAGGAAAATTGATTTTCTAGCAGGAATCTAAAAATATACATTACAAACTTAGTACGTGTATACACATGATACACATATACACATCTGGGTCATTCATTAAGTTTGAATATCAGCCACAAAGAACAAAGAAAACACATGTAAAACTTCTTGTTGCAAAATTTGACTCTTAAATTCATGAAGTAGCAACCACATATGAAAGTTGTGTTGAAAACCTGGTTTGTAATCTGTTTTTAAATTTAATTATGATGGAAATAGATGTAAAATTTTTTTGTTCACACTAAAAAACATTTTTTTAGAAGTATTGGTATATTATTATGTTTACAACAAAAATGTAGATCAGATGAACTTATAATATATATGTGACAACATATGATTGAAGACTAAGATTTCCATTTTTAATTAGTTGAATTAATTTTCTAGCATGCAAATTAGAAAAAAATTAAAACTTCCTCTAAAACATTTTAAAAAGTGTAGCTTAATTAAATTCAAATACCTTCATAAGCAATCCTGTCTTACATTCAAATATTTCCCTGGAAATTATTCAGTCTTTGCAGCATTGTTTATACACAATCTGAATCTTTTACCCTCCAACTTTTAAATTTGTTAACTGGAACCTTGTTTCTTATAACACAGCAAAATTAATGTTATTAGCAAACCGGACTCCAGTGAAAGATAATTGAGTACAAACCAATAGCTGTCAAGATAATAATCCTGCTTAGATAAGAAAAAATTCCAGGTAAAAATATTTTCTGGCAGGAAAAAAATATTCCTGTTACCCATACCAGGAATGTTGTTGAAGGAAAATGAAAAATCCTGCCACTAGTACGTCTAAAAAGTAACAGGAATTTAAAATTTCCTGCTAATTCCGTGTGAATTCCTGCTATAGTCTGACAGGAATCCTGCTAAATATTTCGTACGGGAATTATAACCAAAACACGATAAAAAAATTATTCAACACACATGACACAAAAATTGTTTTTAGAAAGTCACTTCATTTTGAAACAATGAACAAAAAACTTATTTATAGCAATAAAATAACCAAAACACAATTGAAAAATTATTCAACACAAAAATTGTTTTTAGAAAGTCATTTCATTTTGAAACAATGAACAAAAAAAATATATATAGCAATACACTAACCAAAAAAACGATGGAAAAATTATTCAACACAAAACCAATAAAAAGGGTGCAAACGTGTAGGGTGCGAACGTGAAAGGGTGCAAACGTGAATGGGAGAAAACGTGTTTTAGGGCCAACGGACCCAGATTCGGAAACAACAAATTGGCTTATGAAGTTCCATTCTGACAAATGTAATGTACTCACTATCTCCAAGAAGCAAATTCCATCTAAGTACAATTACAAATAACATGGCCCATAAGCCAGAAATTAGTAGTACTTTTGCTAATTAATATTCATAATATGTAAATGAGAATTGTACCACATGATAATAGTTTGAACTGGACTGGCTTGATATCATTAAAATCTTTAAAACACGGATATTATAAGTTGCCCGTCACAGACTCCTTGTTTATAATCACTCTGATATTTTCGTAAAGTTGTCAGGTGGTTAAAATCAAAACAATGAACGCGAATTTAGTGAATTTTTCGTGTTTTTGTGAGTTTATTCTTCTTGAAATAGGGGCATTTTAACTTTACGTTGGAACCTAAAGTTCAACGACTACACATTAAAGGTTTGGACTTGCTTATTCTCTGGACATTTAAGTTTCAAGTTTCATCCCGGCAACCTGTTTTTGTAATGACCTTGTTAGCCAATTTTCAACACGAAGTTTGCAAATTTGACGTTTCAGCCATTTTAGCCTGTATTTTATACTGCAATGTTAAAAGCCTCTCGCTTCGATTTTTATAATAGCTCAGGAACCTTGATTTGTGCAACGACAGTCATTATGTTTCGTTTAAATGGTGTATTGATTGTTGTGTATAATTATTTTCTGTCCTGGCAACATGTCTATCACTTAAATTAAAGTTAAAACAGACATTTTTTTCAAAATTCCCTATCATTTCAATATAATTTCCGTGACCCGTATTCAATTTCTTTAGTATAATATTCAAATAAGCAAAGTGGCGTTGATTTCTGGATATGCATATCCTTGAACATATCACATCAGCTAAATACCTGGGATGCACTATTTCATCAGATCTTAAATGGGGGAAACACATAACTCATAAGCACCATCTGCTCCAAAGCAAATCAAAATTGAAACATCTAGTATATACAAAATTATGAACGCCCTTCCAGAAATAACAACAAAAGGCATTCAGAATTCCATCATGCAAAACGACTGTACGGAAGGAGTCGTTCTATCCTTGAACAATCAGAGAGTGGAACACCTTGCCCAACTGTACTGTCTCCGCAACTAGTCCTGAACTTTCAAGGCTCAGCTCCGTCATTAAATTTTAAATAACATGTTTTTAATTGCACCTGATATTCTTAATTATTGTGCACCAAGAGTTACCAGTATAAATCATTTTTTGGTGGTCAATTAAATTTCAACTACATACCTTCCAGACAAATTAACAGATTCTTATTCTTTTCAAAATCTTTATTCCTGGAACTGATCTGATCATAATTGTTTGGGGTATTTCCCCGAACTTTACCTAAACTGGTAATATTGCAGAGTATCTTTCCTGTGTCGGATTTTATATATTACCGGGACCAGTCTACTTTCGGTTTGCAATGTCGACAAAATACCGAAATGGAATTGAAGAAAAGAAATGGCCAACAACGTAATATAAATGATTTATTATTTTTATTATCATGTGATTGAATCAGAAATGGACCTACATAAACTTTTGTCGACTGCAGCACCAATACCTGCATACCTATATCTCACTTAGCTGCTATAGAAAGAATTTCCAAAGATTGGTTCTATGCATTGCATATCAATAGAGCTGAACTACTGTCAGGATAATCAAACATGTTAAAAGAACTGGGTTCTAAGAAAACTAACATTAATCGACAAAATAGTCACCACAACTATACAACAGCGGTTGTGTTTTCGGTCAGAGACATATAATTGTATTGTATGTCTCTGTTTCGGTCATGAAAATTGATAACTACACATAAGCAAGGACGTATATTAGATGTTAGTTATACGTCCTTGGGTTGATGTCTCATTGACGCATGACCACACATCCAATAATTGTAATGTGACAGTTCAGTTGAAACATTATTGTGACTGAGATTTCTAAAGCAATCTTAAAATGACTTTAATCTATTGGAAATAAGTAGTCTTAGGCCAAAAGTGTTTCACCTTTCGGAAATTCCACTATATTTTATACAAAAATTGAAAAAAAAAATGATAAAATATGGAAATGTCTGAAGGTTTATGCAATGATTCTGAAAAAGCTTTGTTATTTAAATTTTTGAGAAAATCCCAGTTTAAAGACAAATATGAATGTCTGCACGAAAAATTAGGAAAACATGACACTTGATTTCAATTTTTGTAAACAAATAATGATTTCTCAGTATTGACATGTCATAAAAATAGTTCATAATAACCGTAAAAAAAACCTGTAATTATGATTTTAACATTAAAAATTTCTTCTTAATCGAACCTCAGATTAGTTTTTGACAATGTTTAAAAAAAAATGTGTTTTAATATGAAATAATAGAATTTGGGAAAGGTGAAACCCTTTTGATCGAAGACTGTATAATCAAAATCAAACAATTTCACCATCTCTTGTAAGGAAAATTTAATGCATTTTATAACAAATTGCAACTGTGTACTAACAGTAACAGACTAACCGACTCCTGCTGTATGCATGCATCACCCGTCGTTATATATGGAACGCCACAGCTGCCTTATGATAACGATAGTAATAATTTATCATTAAGGGTTGAGATATAACATGAAGCAAATTTTCTATACTATTACGACATTTGACTATACTACTCTGTCAATTTGCTATATCACTAAGATCAATTTATATACTATAAAAACGTTTTGATGTAACATGGAGTTACCTTTTCATACTATTCTGCCATTTTACTTTGTCGTGAAGATATTCTTTTATACTATGAAGACATCTTGATATAACATGGAGCTACCTTTTCATACTGATTTGTCATTTTACTCTACTATTATGTGATATTGCTATATCATAAAGATACATTTTATACTATTAAGACATCTTAATATAACATTGAGCAATTTTTTCATACCATTTTGTCACCTCACTATACTATTATGTCATGTTGCTATCCAGCAACGGTCATACCCAGTGACAAGAAAGCGGCACACACAAAAACATTGACTAATGAGACAGACCTTGGGAAGCACGGTCTATTTATGAGTCGAAATTGGGCTTTGAACTAGCTTTCAGTAACTGCATGAAAGTACTCTCATGCAGAGTCAAATTATTATGCGCCTTACACGAGCGGCCGGTTGTCTTTGGTTATCTTCTTTTGTTTATAATGTAATACTAATATATGTATCTTATACATGTATCAGGTCATGCGTTTTGCCTATAATTGTTAAAGACCATACGGTGACCTACAGATGTTTGAATCCTTGTCATTTGGTCTTTGGTTAATAGTTGTCGTATCACCAATCATGGCGAATTCAAGATGGGGGTTGCGTATTTTTGTTGTTGATGTCAGATCATTGATTGTTTCCGTTAAATTCAATCAATTTTTTTTGACGATTAAGATCTGCACACAAAATATCTGTCTATTGTTAAAGACTACATGTTGCCATTTAAATATCTCTGTTTATTTTTAGATATAAGAAGATGTGGTATGAGTGCCAATGAGACAACTCTCCATCCAAGTCAAAATTTATAAAAGTAAACCATTATAGGTCACAGTACGGTCTTCAACACGGAGCCTTGGCTCACACCGAACAGTAAGCTATAAAGGGCCCCAAAAAATTACTAGTGTAAAACCATTCAAACGGGAAAACCAACGGTCTAATCTATATAAAAAACGAGAAACGAGAAACACTTATGAACCACATCAACAAACGACAACTACTGAACATCAGATTTCTGACTTAGGACAGGTCAGAGACATATATTATATGTCTCTGGACAGGTGCAAACAAATGCAGCGGGTTTAAACGTTTTAATGGTACCAAACCTTCACCCTTTTTCTGAAACAATAGTGTAACATCACAACATAGAAAGACACACTATAAAATATCAACTGAAATAGCTTAACTCAATCAAAGGACATATTAACACCACTGAACATACACTGAACAAATAAATTTGACCTATGACACAATATAAATACAAAATAAATATACTTAGGGAAGAATAATAAAAGTAACATATTATATCGGTAAGAAATGTTAAACAATTAAAGAAAAACAATATGCTCGAACAAAAATACCATCCATTTGCAATAACTTTAAACACAGGTAAATGAAAATAATTTTGTTGTTAGGTATACGTGTACAGTACCAATAGAGAAAGGAAATATTTTTACAAAATAAATAATTTAGAATACAAAATAAATAAACTAAGGGAAGAATAATAAAAGTAACATGTTATATAGGTAAGAAATGTTAAACAATAAAAGAAAAACAATATTTTTGTCTGTCTCATTAATGTTTACCCAAAATTTCAATTAATTCATTTAAATGTATGTCCGGAGGATGTATCACTTATGTCTAACGATTGTGTACACTGTTAAAAAAGGATTTTGGTTTGTAAAGATAGATGTGTACTTGTCCCGTCCCTCTGTTATTATTATTTTTATAACTGATAATCAGTCCATAGGAGAGCATTAACTATGGTATGCGTTAATTCGTCACTATCAGCTAGAGTTTAAATTGCTTGAAGATATTGACGTATAATATTGTAGAACAGACATTGATTCTGATCACATGTAAATATACGAGATTAATTATTGCGATATCATGAAAATCTGCATACAGATATATGTAACAGATATCAGAATGCGAGTTCTTATTATTGCGATAGTCACCCAGTCGCATTATTCGCATTAATAAAAACCTCGCAATAATTTCTGAATTTACAGTATGAAAAAAGAAAACATAACGAAGGGGGGTGCTCTATCATAGAAAGAAAATATCAAAGGGTACTTTACCAAAACGTTTGTACCATTATATGAATAAAAAGATTGATTGATAGATTGTTTTTGTTTAATGTCAGTTGCAAATATTCTTGCATATTCGAGACAAGAACAAAAACAATAATCATTTACATGTAATAGGTAGTCTCTTGAAAGAGGATTGATAGGGATTATGGTCGAGAATTTAGACTGTCAATGTATCATTATATGTTGGATACGTTGCAGAAATGTTGTCTTGGAACAGGTCAACTAAGGAGTAGTTGTAAGAATGCTTCAAAGAATACACTCTCTGCACGAAGCAACGAATTGAAATTCAATATTCCGACTAGATGCGGCTACGTATTTAGTAATTTCACACTGTCAAACAGACCCTACACTTTAGCAATGGTTTTTACTGTCGGGCGAGGTAAGTACATAAAAATGCCCTTTACCATGTTTACTGTACATCGGTAAAGCCATGGGGCTAGAGAAGTGGGTATACGTTATTATTTTAATCTGCTTGTTCCACTGGATATCCCCAAAATATCATAATGTACATCTAGAAGATAGCATATATTTCAAGTTAGTGAACCACGCACCTTATATTTTGTTTATTATTGTTGAATGCGGTCAGAAACATTTCTAAGAATAAGTTATATTCCCAGAGTGCAATTTAATTATCCAAGCCAATTCATTTTCATATTAAAATTTTAATAATATCCCGAGGTATAAGATATAATCATGAAATATATTGTCTAAAGTAACATTTAATGGGAAATCTTCAATTTATTACAATAGAATTGATTGATAATAGATTACCATGAGGTTTGCTCGAACCAATATGCACCGGCAAAAATACCACTTACACAAATTGCCAATTTTCCTTTGTATTTTAAAATATTCATTTTCAAAATTTTCCAGAACTTTGTCATGTTTCGTCTCAATCATGTTTTAAAGAAACAGACCAAAAATTAGCATTGTCAGCTGATTGTTGAAATCTGAAAAGCTGTAAATGATGTCAAGCTGAATAATTCAACAATAAGATTTTTACATACGAATAACGTATCAATCACCTGGTATGATCATCGACGGAAACAATGCTCTTGTATTCTGAGCAATGTATCATATCTTAAGTATTATATAGAGGAATATATAAGAATAGCATTTGCATATATTTGGTAAACTGCTGCTCTTTCTTAAAGTGACGAGAACATTGACATCAAACCTTTTGATGGTTAGTTCAACACACTGTATTGGTAGCGGAATGTGGAACAAAAAGGAGGAACAGTATCAAATAAACAGTTTCTAGAGAAAAATTAACGAAGCATACAGGATGATTTATAAAGATAATGGCACACAACTTGTTATAACATTTTCTGAAAATGTGACGCAAGTAATCAATAAAAGTCAGAACGAGACGCACGTAATCAATAAAAGTCAGAACGAGACGTACGAAAAATTAACGCTGTATGATGAACAGACAAGAATCACCACATTGTTTTTCTGCTTTATCATTTATATTTTCGGAGTTACTGGAAATGCATTAATTATTTGGACATTTTTCAGGATTAAGCGTCTTAGAAAGAGACACAATTTGTTTGTGGT